AGAGAGAGAGAGAGAGAGAGAGAGAGAGAGAGAGAGAGAGAGAGAGAGAGAGAGAGAGAGAGAGAGAGAGAGATATGCTTGATGATTCAAAGCAGAATTAATATTTAATAGAAATAGGCTACAGAATATTTGAATCGTACTCAATGGAGATTCGAACCCAGGTCAGCAAGTAAACAGCGTTTAGTGCCTTGTCTGCAAGCTCTATTTCATATTCCATTACGACTAAGCACACATCACCAAAAAAGATGATACCAGTGAGTGCCAGACACACCATCTTTCAATGACATTATTCTTCTCATTAAAGCTATCTGTTACAGTCATTTCATCCACATCATTCTAAGTAAAGCTGTCTGGTATAGCCATTTCAATAACATTATTCTTGTCAGTAAAGATGCCTAGTACCGCCATTCGAATGACTTTCTTCTTGTCAGTAAATCTCTCTGGTACTGCCATATAAATGACTATTCTTTTCAGTAAAGGTGCCGGGTGCCACCATTTGAATGACACTTCTCAGTGAAGCTGTCTGGTACAACCATTGCAATGACATTTTTCTACCATTTCAGTAACATATTATAGTCAGTAAAGTTGTTTCAATCAGTGTTTTGTATGCTTATATCTAGACATTCGTCGTGCATAAAAGTAACATACCATACCGTCTTTTGAAAAAGAATTATATTCGAACATATTTTGCACGTTTCATCACCTTAACCAGGGGTTGCTTGCTCCTTATTGTGATCATCACACGAGGTCATGCGATAATTGTGAATAACGTTTCCTCTAATATTTTTCCTCTTTGTACGGATTTTGAAACTGCTGCGCGGCATGTGTATTTGCTACCAAAACTTGTTATCGGGATTTAGAAACTGCTGCGTGGCATTTTCTAATGAGCTGTGGTTTATGATGTGATTATGATTTTTAACCTAGCTTTAAAAAAATTTCACTCATCTCGCTACGATGTTTGCAGTGTGGCAGTTTATAGTGATGTCTAGCACTGGGGCATCATGCCACAGACATGTTGCATGGTGTCACACCCAGTCACATTATTCTGACACCAGGCCGACCAGTCCTTAAACTAAGCCCATTAATGCTGAGCGTCAAGCGAGGCAGTTGTTAGTACCGTTTTTGTAAGTCTTTGGTATGATTCGATCGGGGATCGAACCCACGACCTCCCGCATCTGAAGCGGACGCTCTAACCACTAGGCCACCGGAGCGGTTGCCACGCAAATTAGATGAACATTGATTGTGAACCGAACAATGGCGCAAAACGAAAATCTGAGCTGAATTATTGATGCGCACATAATCTAATTCCATTTATGAAATTCCGACAGAAAACAAAAACAGTAACACTGAACAGCAAAGAACAATACGACTAATCACAAAATGTACCATTAAGAGTCATAATCGCATCCAGGGAATTAAATGAATAATCTACGCTCAGTTTATTAGTGTTCTGATTCAGTTCTTGGCATACAAGTTTGACAGTTTGTCACATACACCACCCACTTCTCCACACAAATGGGTATTTCTTCTAACGTTTTGTGCCCACTGTAGACCTCTATTGTCTTTTTTCAGAAGAAATATATCTTAAAGATCATGTCGAACTTGAGAATGTAAATATTTGTTCGTTTTTTCTGTTAAAGGTGTTTGTGATTATTTCAAAACTTCAACGTTAAAAATGAATGTATTTAACTTTCAATTTTGATCGTCTTTATATCTGACTTCGTGATTTTTTTTCTCTCCAAATTTGTTGACTGATATGGTTTTCTAGTGGTTAGAGCATCTACCTCGGATGCGAGAGGTCGTGGGTTCGATGCCCGGCTGAGTCATAACAAAGACTAATAAAATTATATTTACAGCTGCCTCGCTAGGTACACATAATTAAGAGGTTAGTGACAAGACTGGTCAGGATGATGTGACTGGGTGAGACATCAGGCTACGTGTCTGCGGCACGATGTTCCACTGCTAGACATCACTATAAACTGCCAAACTGCAGACATCGTAGCGATATGATTGAAACATTGCTAAAGCTACGTTAAAATCAAAATAACACACACACACACACACAAACACACACACACACATATAAACACACCTAAATTTGTTTGTGTTGAAGGGACATGATACAGTTTTATGACCTAACTAATTCCTTTGATCCGGTTCGCCCTGATACATAGGAGTATTAGCTTTTAGAACGTCTGGCCCACATGCATATTTCTGCTTATATGTTTGACAATGATCCATGAAAGCTGACACGAAATTTAAAGAAAAAACGTTCCTCCCTTGCAAGATTATGTGATAATAATGTTATGGTCAATGACACGTGACGAAGGTTTCTGACACATGACGATAATTTTGATTCAAAAGTGAATCAGAAAAAAGACAGGTATCCATAGTGATATCATCCGGACCTCAAGTGGTTTTAAATTGTACAATCCACGGAAAATAGGACGAGCCAATTTTGAATGGAACTTTTTGAAAAAGTATACGTTATGCTTTGATAATTTGCAAAATGTAAAATAATTACCATTCATATCTGAACAACTGCACAGTAAGTTAAGTTATACGTGTTATGGTCATGTTTTCAGTTTTTCAGATCGTTGCAACGAATATGTTCAAAAGTTATATTGCATGTAAAAATGGACATTCTAAATATCACTGTACTTTATGTTGACAAAAAAAAATCATGTCCATATTTTCATTGGGCAGTTGAAGGTAAGATCATTTTTCCATTATTATGTAATTAAAATAAATGAGTGAAATGCGAAAAATGAATTTGGATGTGTGCAAATTAAATGGCGAAACAAGACATAAGACAAACCATATGGATACCATAGTGAATGCAACAACAAATTTAAGTTGTACGGTTATTCCTCAACTCTCAACAACATTCAGAAAAGAAACACTTTTCTTTCCATATTAATAAAGCTATATATATTTTTGATTAACTGTCTTCTAACGCATGAAAAACCTAAGTAACTGAATGGACACTTGTTAGTTTTTCCGGTCGCTAAATTTCTGAATAAAATTGTATACGGCCAGCAACATTTGCCATGCAGTCAGTTCCAGATGGAAAACAAAGTCACAATGGCGTCACATATCGTTTCGAATGTTCGTTGCTTATATATATATATATATATATATATATATATATATATATATATATATATATATATATATATATATATATATATATATATATATTCTCCCCTGACCATATCAAGTAAATTTAATTCAACACCAACATGAACCTTATGAATATGTCAGAGAAAAAACCCAAAACAAACAGGCACTAATACTTTTGACAAACACAAATGATGAACAGAATGACCAGTCCTCATTCTGACTGCAAACATTGCGAGACCAAAGTGACAGGAAATAAGGTAACTAAGCACAACAGGTTAAGAAACATCATGTGACAATATATATTTTCAGCTCAGTGGTAAAAATTAGCTAAAATCACCTACAATCATTTAAATTACATGCTTAATCAAAGTGTATTTTGTTCCAAAGTGGCTTTGAGACAGTGTTTTTATTATACCATTTTTCTCATCAACAGAAAAATCAAATTAAAATAACTTACCTTAACATCACGTTTGCAATCACTCTAAGCAAGGCTGAATAAAGAAGACTGTGTTCATGGAGGTAATTTGTTAAAACCATTGTATCAGCTAAGATTCAAAACAGGATTAATCGCAGAATAAGAAGGAATTTCTTTTTAATCAAACATGCAGATATTAAAGAAAGTGTTAATTTCGTACTGGAATCGTATCAGACTAACAATTAAATACCCGTGGAGCAAAATGAAAATTTTCAAAACACTTCTTACAGAGTAGTATTCAAAATCGATTTTGATTGGTTAAATTTAATAATCATATTCTTGTGCAGTTGCAGCAAACGAGTATTATTGAAATCCAAACAGCAATCATTGAATGCTTGGAATGTTTTGTAAAAAATAAATAGTTTCCGTAAACAGTTGACCTAAATAAAGTATTTCCCGACTTGAAACTTTCTCAGACCTTTGATATAGTCAAAAAATGGTAGATTCTTGACTTTATCTCTGGAAAATGATAACAGAGGGTTAGGGGTTAAAAAAAAGATGCTCCCAAATGCAAACTCGAGGTGACAAAAAGACGTAGACTATCACTAACTTTGTTTTATACTAGGGTAGTGTAAGTAGATGAAAAGACATAAAGCCATTCCACGTGTAGAATGTAGAGAAATGATTTTACATGGTCGGAACAAATAATAATGGTACAAACTCTTAAAACATGGAATCAAAATAGGTATTAAGAATAATGCAGTACAGTAATGCCTCTATAATGTCAGTTAACGGCAATCCAGTACAATAATGACTCGATGGATGGTGTCAAATAATGGTAACTCTGTATAATAATAATACATTGCCTCTGTGTTATCAATTAAGAGTAAATCTGTATAATAATTACAATAATGCCAATAAAATGCCAATTAATGATAATTCAATGCAATAATGACTCCATGACGCTAATTAAAGGTAATTCAGTACAATAATGCCTCTATGGTGCTAATTGATGATAACTCAGTGCAATAATGCCTCTTTTGTATTAATTAACAGACACTCAGTACAATAATGCCTATATGGTGCCAGTTATATATATAAAATACAACTCAGTACAATAATGCCTCTATGGTGCTAATTAACGGTAACTCAGCAAAATAACACCTATGTGGTACCAATTAACGGTAACTCAGTACATTAAGGCACAAAATTAATTTATACCACATTCTTACAGTGACAATAAAGTGTACAGTCTAAGTCGTTAATAAGGACTTTTGGTCTTAATCTTGCTTATTATTATTATTATTAAAAAAAACCGTCCGTTGTGGTGAAGAAAAGATCAAAGGTAGGAAAACTTGTTACCAGTCAGTAAGACAAACTGTCTGTAACTACTCCTACAATAATAATCAACTAGTTACTGGTTATTGCTAAAATACATTAGTCGTGTTATCACTGGTATCCATGACTTCTCATGTGGCCTAGTGGTTAGAACGTCCGCCTCAGATAGCGGGAGGTCGTGGGTTCAATCCCCAGCCGAGTCATGCTAAAGACTTATAAAAATGGTACTTACTGCTCCCTCGCTTGACGCTCAGCATTAAGAGATTAGTGTTAGGACTGATCGGCCTGGTGTCTGGATAATGTGATTGGGTGGGATATCATGCTACATGTCGGCGGCATGATGCCCCAGTGCTAGACATCACTATAAACTGCCACACTGCAGACATCGTAGCGATATGAATAAAAAAATTGTTAAAGCTACGTCAAAAATCCAAAATCACATCACAACACACTGGTATCCATGAATTTTCTTGAAGGCACTATTCATGAAAGTGGTTCAGTGTTTAACTTTTGAGACTGACGATATCAGTTCTTTGGAAAATGGGAACCAGTCCAGAAGTGATTGTAAATATAATTGTATATATACAAGTTCTGGAGGTCTTTGATTGGTTGAAATGGGCAAATAGAAGAGAGTATAAAGGTGTTTGGATGACTGGTTGATAAGTAACAAATACTTACAAGAATCGTTTGAATGTTTGTCTTACTTTTATGTAAAAAAAAAAAGAAAGACAATGTTATATTGATACAGTTTCAGTGCTTCTACATACTTGACGTTGGAACACGCAATACTGAAATTTGCACCTGATTCGTTTTGTAAGGAACTGAAAAATGACGTTGTTCAAAGAGTGCCTTGGCTCATATAGGTTTCGCAACGCAGAGGCATCCATCAAGAATAGAACAATAATACGAGATGTTTGAATATGAGCATTATAAATTTAAAGGTTTTGAATTGTTAAGGTGATGTTGTTTCCAGAGATTAACTGCGGTATTTGATTACTTCATTGGTATTGTTGTTTATCCCCAAAAGCAATGGCGTTTACCAGACATACCCAGAAAAATAGACACCAACAATTTAAAAAGTGTCCAATTTTCATATTATATCAGCGTTTATTGTTGTCTGTTATGAAAAACACTTTAACTGACACCGACATTCATTTACCCGTTCCAAATCAAGGTTTGCAGTGATGAATTTTAATTTGCTGCTATTTTCTATTAGAAAACGGCAACGATATATTATTCCCTTCTGAAATGAAACTTCAATGTAAAAGAAACAATTTGTAAGTCACCAGACGTGAAAAAAACCCATGGTATTTTATAAAGTTTGCACATTTTATAAAGACCAAAGCACCGCATCTAAAGAAGTTTGTACATTGTACATCATATAATAAAAGTTATCATCTTAATACAGCTCTATTGTATTTTACGATTAAAATAAAGTTTCAAACTGTTTCTTCCAGAAGGTAAACCTATCAGATATGTAGGTTGCTTGCAAAGAGAATGTTATTGCTTTTAAACATTTCATTGCCGGTCAGAGTTTGTTATCAGTTATAAATATCTGCTGAAGAAGTAAACGATTAGCACATAAATTAATGATACTTCCCTGACATTTTCATTAAAAGAAACCCTAACAACCCGGATCTCAAAATTATTTTGGTATGATCAAAGCAATGATAAAGCATGATTGGTTCCAATACTACTTAAAGTTTGCCCTTTTCGTATCCGCTTACCAGTTTCCTGTCTTCAACTGAGCTTTGATAGTGAGACACTTAAGATTTCAAAAATAGACACAGGCAGGGGCGCCCAGCAGAATTACTTGGCTGAGTGTGTGAGTGTGTGTGTGTGTGTGTGTGTGTGTGGGGGGGCAGACATGTAGTGGTCAGCTACTAAATTTTACGGATGTGGACCAAAACACGTTTATCGTTACCCCCTTCCCCGCCACCGGTCAATACGTGCCCTTGGTCAAAGGCATGTATCGTAACACTAAGAAGCAATGAAAAATAGTCACCACATCCACGTGAATTTTGTGGCTTTATTTATCTCTAAGCTGATAGGTTCTTTCAAAAAAAGCAAAAAAAAATATTAATCAAGTTATCTTTGGACAAAATACTCCGTAATTCACGTGATAACAAATTGAGCAAGCACTTGTTGTTTGTTCCGGTTGTTTAGGAAACGAATCGGACAGTTTAGAAAAGTTGCTTTGAGAAGCTGCATTATCACGTGATGTACTAGATGTACAAACATATAACTCATGTAAATATGGGGACTGGTTGGCTCAGATAAAGTAAAAGAAGCAAACTCAACAAATCGTATAATTATGAGAATATAGTAAATGGTTAACGCCAGGTTACCGTATAAAAAAATACCCCCATATAAGTCGGATTTGTCTGCATAGAATCAGATCTGCCTTGACATATTGCACCAGCAGATATAGCTCTAAGCTGCTTGTTTGATTTATTATGCAGAAGAAACAACATAGACCATGATCTGCAAACGCATTAAGGGTCAGCGTTGTTTGCAGTTGGATCTCACGTGAAAGTGAGTAGATATGGTAAATGAATTACCTCCACCATTATTATTATTATTATTATTATTATTAAATTCATTGAGACTTTGTGTTACCAATGTCAGTGGATCTATTATCTATGAATCTTCATTTATTTTTATTAATACGTTTACAAAGGTTTGCATGGTGCTTTTTTTTCTCCAAAGAAACAGGAATCTTTCCTCAGTCGACAAAATAGTATGTTATATTTTTGCGTCTATATTGCATGCAACTATGGCATGTACTTGAGTACAAGTTTGAATCACAGTTGTAGAATAAACTGATAAATCTAAGTCTATGCAGTTTATTAAGATTGATAAATTGAACAAACGACAACGACCATGATCTTCTGATTCTTCATGGTCGATGTTTGCAAATGAACAGAAATTACAGTCGAGTATATAAGTGTTTACAGTCGTCTAATTATCTAATTATCTCCTTAATCTCTGCCACTCTTTTTTTCATATCCAGTAATTTAGTAGAGGAAGGACATAAGCGAAGAAAACGAACTATTATCCAAACTTCCATTGCCTTACGAAATTGAAATAAAAAATGTTTAAACCATACAAAAATTAATATCCTTATTCCTAAGCTACTTATTTGAGAACTTTGAAAAAGTGTTATGCTTTCTCATGTTCTGGCTAGGATTTGCCATGTACGAAAGCTGATTATACAAACGATGAAAATGCGTGAGTGAATCCTCAAATGCACGTACTTAAAGTGGATGCACGCAAACCTAGAATAGAAATAATACTTTTACGTGCAAACGTATATGTCTCCACTATGATAACGGTTTATATTGCAATCAACCAGGCGACGCAATCGGATATTCTGGGTAAACGTGACAGGGATAAAATGCACGATCCAAATGAATTAATTAAAGAAAAAGCTATATCGGGCGGCATAGCGTATTTAACTAAATTGCAGTAATTTCGAGTTATTTAAACATCAAAGCGACAGAAAATCAATTAAATTTCAGACATTACCAATCTGCATCGATGCTAAGCTGTTCGACAGGCTTAAAAATCGATTCTGATGAAATGGGACCTTAAACAAAGTCTCTTAGCACGGAACGTGTACAGAATTCTGATGTATATATCACATAAAAAAACAATCCAAAAGACAAACTCTGGCCAAAAACAAGTAAAAGAATTGCAGATTGTGTTTACTGCGAAATGATTGTATAATAAACTCTGTCACCTGCAATAAATATATTGCTTAGAATTGACTATATACTAAAGAAGATTAATTGGATATCGAGCGATTAGAACGGGTGAAATAATTAAAGACTGAATAGCGCTTAACTGTGTAAATAAAATCGTTCGCAAATTTATATTGTATTTGGACAGAAACCATAATTCTTGTTTGGAACGCCACCATCCGTGGAATCGAAGGAAATCATGCATTTTAGCTCATTGCGAAATCGACCTACCAAGTTTATGAAAAATATGGAGGGGGAGGTGAACTTTATATTTTCCTCTCCAATACTAACTTGTCATCCATATTTTGGTGATATATGGTTACCAGCTTGATTAATACAAAGGTTTATTATTTTAGGTTTTAAAACATTATAACTTGAGGCTGATTTGATGGAATTAAATCTCTTCAAACACAACATGCCGGATTTAATGACAAAAGGATATATATATATATATATATATATATATATATATATATATATATATATATATATATATATATATATATATATATATATATATATATATATATATATATATATATATATATATATATAGATATATATATATATATATATATATATATATATATATATATATATATATATATTTAATATGAAATTTTGTCTACAAATAACACTATTATTTTGGCTAATAAGTATATGACTGTAATAGTAATATTGGTAACTGAGTTGATCCTATCTATACGGAGCAAATGGCGCAGTTGCTGGTGATAATATTAAAAAATTATCATTATAAGATATATTTCAATCTCGCCCAGTATTTGATCTTTATGAAGCAAATGATCGTGGAATTGCTAAATATGAAAGAACAAGAAAGTTGTTGGAAATTTACAAAATAGCGGATATTTAGATGTTTTGGTTTAGCATTATATGGCATATATGTTTGTATTTGAACTTTTAACGGATCAATACCTAACAGTTTAGTTATCAACCATATTAATAACATTAAAACAGATAATATAATTGAAAATTTAGATTTAGTAACGGCAAAAGAAACACAAAACGTGGAATTGATGGTAGTAATAACTTTAAAAATATGGCTAAACAAATAATTTCTATAAATATTGAAACTGGAGAAGGAATGAAATTTAAATCAATAACATCTACTGCAAAATATCATAAAATTCATTCTCAGAGAGTTAAAGATGTTGCCAACAGCAGAACAGTTTTAGCAACGTCAATAATGACAATGGATAGATTTAGTTTTAGATACGATAATTAATAATATTTCCAGATCATTCCGAGAAAGACAATTATGATTAAATTCCACGACACCGTCGCGATTAAATCGCAATACCGTCATCTTATTTGTATCAAGTTTTATTTTTCTGCTGCTATTAAAAAATTGTCAGAATCACCAAATGTTATCATAACGTCAGCGAAAAAAAACTGTCCCAAAAACAGTATAAAATTTCATCTGCTATTTTTTTTGTTTTTTAG